AATCCTACAAGAACTTTAGGAAATAAGATATCTAATGGCAATACTCCCCAAACTTGAAATGTAAAAAGTACTGTCAGACTCATTTCTGGAAACTATTTCTGGAAACTATTTTTTCTGGAAACTATTCTCACTATCTTGATTCTAAAATCAGACAAAGACACAACTAAAAATGAAAAGTACAGGCCAGTCTCTTTAACCAACACAGATATAAAGATTCTCAATAAGATATTGGCAAACTGAATGCAACTCATCATTAAAAAGATCACTGATCATGACCCGACTGGCTTTAACCCAGGCATGCAAGGATCATGTGAATCACTAAATGTATCAAATCCTACAAAAAGAAGCAAGGGCAAAAATCACATGATTATCTCAATAGAGCAAAAAAAGCTTTGACAAAAACCAACATCCATTTAAGGTTAAAAACCCTTAAGAAAACGGGTAAAACGAACCTACCACAATCTGATAAAAAAGCCATTTATGACAACCTACTGCCAACCAGTAAAAAATTAATCCAGTAACAAAGTAAAAATAAAAAATAAAGGTATCTGTGATTACTGAAATGGTGAATAAACTGTAATATTATTATTACAGTTAATATATAGTTACAATTAATATGTAAAGTAAATTTTAATCCTAAAACTCTGTCTCTCAACCTCTCTCAGCCCCAATTACCTGGAATTATATAACAGTAAGTAAGGAGCTTCTTCTGTTTTTACAGCAGCTACTCATTTTTTATCTAGCTATTTTCTGAAAGTAGTAAGTGATGAGAGTTTCCATTTTCATTTATTAACTTTTTATTCTTTTAAGGTAACATTATATGGTTTATCATTGAAGCAAATGCTATCACCTCTCTTTTTTTTTTTGGGCCTAGAACCTAGACACTCTCTTTTTCCATTTTTAAAATTTCATGTTATCTGTCTTACTTTGAATGACAACTATTATTTGTTAAATCCTTAGTTTTTACCCTTGCATGAAGTTTTGATTATTCATACAAGGTAAGTACTTGAGAGTAAAATCCTTTTCTATTTTATTTTTTAATATATATTCTCTAGTACCTTGAGCTATATTAGTATTAACTTATTCTATAAACTTGATTTGTGACTATTTTGCCAAGAAAACCCAAAACATCTACTATCAGGCTCTTTGTAGAGAAAGCTGCCAACCCTAACACTCAGCTAGAGTCTCCATTATATGCCTGTTTATTTCTTTTCATTTTATCTATTTCTTATTTTTAAAAAGTGCTTAAAATACTGTTTTACCTCAGTCTGCTATAATAGAATATTATAGGCTAGGTTCTTTAAATACAAGATTTATTTCTCATAGTTCCAGAGGCTGGAGAGTAGGACCAGGAAGAGCCATGGTCAGTTTGGAGAATCTTCCTCCTGGCTTGTAATCAGCCTTTCCCTCCTTATATTCTCTCACATGGCAGATAGCAGAGAACTGGCTCTCTGGTTTCTTCTTATCAGGACACCAATGTTATTCAGGTGGCCGCACCTTCTTGACCTAATTATCTTCCAAAGCTAAAACTCCAAATGTCACATTTAAGATAAGATTCCATATTTGTGATGAAAATACATGATGAAAGTTTAAATTAAAAAAATTATAGAAGATTCACTGTATTAATCCTCCCACATTTGTCATTCAAACACACCATTTTTGCCACTTCATAAAGCAGTTCCTTTCATCAGTGTCTATACAATGTTTGGTCAAAACTATGGTGAATACAACTGTCAGGTCTTTTCATCAGTGTCTTTACAATGTCTGATCAAAACTATGGTGAATATAACTGTCAAGTGCCATCCAGTGGAAAGTCAGGGTCATGAAAACATTACAGTGTGTCCTCTCCCCTCTATTCATTGAGTCTGGTATCATGCAACCTCAGGTTCTTTTTTGTTTGTTTGTTTGCTTGTTTTTTGGTACCATGGATTGAATTCACAACCTTGCACTCGCCAGGCTAGTGCTTATGCCGCTGAGCTAAATCCCTGGCCTGCAACCTCAGATTCTCCAGCATGAATCTGAATCAAAATGACCATGAAAGCAAACATCTTTTTTTTTTTTTTTAAATTCAGGAGATTAATATAGACACAAAAGCATAATTACAGATGTTCACAAAAGAGAATTTCCAGAAGTGCTTCAGAAAATAGCAAGAATAATGGCATAAAAGGGTGTTCCATGAAAATGGTAATATTGTAAGTAGGATTAATGGCAATGTGTCTTTCTCTGTAATAATTTTTTAATTTAAATACTTACTGTATTTTTCAACCACATCTTGTATGAATTTCTGAGGAGCACAAACATTCATTCCATAGGTACTAGTAAACATAATTCTAATGAATAGGATTATGCTGTTTTGTTTTTTTGACACAGGGTTTCACTATGCAATTTAGGTTGGCCTTGAACTCACTTTGTAGCCCAAAATGGTCTTGAACTCCCAGTGATCCTTCTGATCAGCTCCCAAATGCTGAGATAACAGACCTGTGCCACCGTGCCCAGCCTATAAATAGGATTATTTAAATTACTCTGGTGAATTATCTTCATATATTGCATGGTCTCTGATACTCTTCTTCACTAGGTGAAGTTGTTTCTTTTCCCCATTATTTCTGGTGGCACTATGATTCCCTGGACTAATGGAAAACAGTTATGCTATCCCAACTCCATCCAGACTGAAACTTTAAGAGAGCTGGCAGCTTCTGCTTGGCATTTAAAGTCCAAGAACCATCATGAAAGGCTTTAACCTGTCCTGGAAAAACTATACAGCAAAGAGGGGTATCCAGGTGAACCTGCCAAGAGGACAATTATGAGAGAGATGTCGTCTTGGACTCTGTGGATAAGATTAGCTGATAGATGAATACCACTGAATGATACCAGTTGATGCCACATGGAACAGAAAAATTTTCTCAATTCTTGATTCATGAAATTACTAAATAAAATAAAATAATTTTATTAAACTATGTAGTTTTAGTGTGGAAGCAATAGATAACAACAGGTAACTAAAACAGAATTTTGTATCTGAAAGTGTGCTAACACAAAAGTTTTAAAGCATATACTGAGCAGCAGCAGATGTAAGTCTAAGGAAATTGCTGCCAGGAAACTAGCTCCTGAAAAATGGTTACTAAAGGCTGAAGAAATGGGGATTTGGAGGCACGATATTTGATACCTGTAATAATGTGGAAAATAGAATGCACTCCACAGATTCAGTCACCTGGTGCTAGAGTACATATCTAGATGTCCACCCAAAGCCTCATGCACTCCTAAACTGGATCATGAGTGTGTGATACTGGGCCAGATTAGTGCATTGATGGGTGTGATGTTTGGAGGTAAAGCCTGATGGATGAAGCATGTCTATACATCCCCTCCCTTGAGTGCTTGATGCTTCCTGCCTGCCTTGTCATGAGCTCTTTCTCCTCTGCCATGCCTCTCTGCCATGCTGCCTTACCTTGGAGGTAGCTGACTAGGACTGAAACTCTACAAACTGTGAGCTAAACTAAGCCTCTCCTTCTCTAACTTGTGGATGTCGGGCATTCTGTCCCAGCAAAGAGAAAGTAACTAAGATGGCTAGTAAAGGAGCTATCAAAAGAGCACATTAGAAGTTCCAGTTAGCTTCTAGTAGGTTCTCAGAAAGTAAAACAATGAGACTGATTGATTGAAGAAGGGACTCTTTAGATTATGAGCAGAATTTAGAAGAGATATAGAGGTTCTAGGATCATTCCTTCTAAGCAGCAACAGCTTCTCAAAGGAAGATAGGTTCTCAAGACAAAGATAAATTTAGGGCATTAAAATGTGGCTTCAGGGCAAAGATGAAGTCAAGAGTAAGACCCTTAAGATCTTCTCTTATGGCATGAAAGATTTAAAGGCATGCCCTACACACCACTTCTGTCAGATGAAAAGATTTCTAAGGAGTTTAGAGCACTGTTCCAGAACATCCTCACAGGCAAGGCAAGGAAGAGCCTGCCACAAAACAAAACATGAAACAACAAAACAAAACAGCAGGATGTTAATAACATTCATAAAAAACACAAAATGTTTCAGAAGTTTTACTTGCAGAAGTACTACCAGAAGAAAGTGTTCCAAAGAGAAGAACCCACATTTGGTGCAAAGAAATCAGACAATGCTACTCTAGTCTAGATGTCAGAGTCTCTGTGAACTGATGACAGCCATGTGCTTCTCATCTTCCTTGTTTTTGGAAAGGAGTTTCTGGGCCTTCCTTTCCATTGTATGGTTGCCATGTGGAGGGAAAAATCACTTATTTTTTTTTCATTCAAAGATCTTTGGAGAGACAGTAGTTAAAGAACTCATCTGAAGAAACCTCAGCATGCAGGCCTGATTTTGACATCAACTTAGACTCTGAGTTAATGTTATAATGAGGTCAAGAATATAGACAGTGGCACAGCACCTGCCTGGCAAGCACAAGGTCACAAGTATGATTCCTCGTTAAAAAAAAAAAAAGAGTGAATGTATTTTGTATGTAGGAGGAATTAAACATTTTTGGTCACAGAGCAGAGCAGACTATGGCAGATTAAAGATAGATGCAAAATTTTCAACAGTTTCCCTTTCCTTTGAATCTAGGCTGGTCATGACTACATGAAGAGGGAGAGAGGTCCATCATAAATCAGCTTTTAGTTATACCCTTCAAGACAGCAGTAAAACTATCCTGAATCCTTCAGATGGCTTTATCACTAGCTGAATATCAATCATTAAGTGAACTCTGGAACAAAGGCACATGAATTAGGAAAACCACATTCATTGAACCTTGACTCAATCTCTGACACTTCCATTTAAGTATTATTAAATCTTTTCTTTTCCCCCAGCCTTTGGAACTAAACCGAGGGCTTTTACACTGAACTAAATCCCTAGTACTTTTATTTTTTGAGACAGGCTCTTACTAAAGTCCTTATGGTTTCTAGGCTGGGCTCACGCTTGTGATCTTCTAGTCTCAGTGTCTGGTGTGCATCACCATGCCTGGTCAAATTAAGATATTCTGACCCATTACAACATACCTTCCGTGTTTCCATTTGGTTCTAATAATGTCTGTGGAGATGCCTCGCTATTTGGAGTTCTTGTCTCAGCAGAAGAATCAACAATAATGGATGAGTTTATTTCTTGTGAAACACATTGTAGCTTTTCATTGATGATTAACGGTTTGTAGTTATCTCCTTCAGGAGAAATCTCTAAAAAAAATGAAAAATTATGCTAATTCTCAAAATGACTTGAATTTTACTTGCAATCATATTCAGTGTAAACTTGAAATAACTGCATTCTTTTTTTTTGGTACCAGGGATTGAACTCATGACCTCGCACTTGCCAGGCAGGTGCTTTTGCCCCTGAGCTAAATGCCCAGTCTCCAGAACTGCATTCTTATGACAGGATTATTAAACTCTGTTATTAGAAATTAATAAATTATTAAGTCAAATTTCATTTCAAATACATATAATTCCTAGAGTGGTTAAAATATATGTATATCAGAATAGCATTTTTAAAAATTATTAACTAATTGCTTGGTTTACCTGTAGTTAACTGATACTGTAATTACTTCTAACAGCTCTGAAATTCTCCAAACTTCTAACTGGGGCCAGGAAAGATTTACCACATAAAAATCTATCTCTATGCTTAGGTCATTCCCTTGTTTGCTGAAGATTTTAATTTATACCTTATAAACTCCCTAATATTAATTCTGTCATAATTAATTATACTATTTCTAAATTTATATCAATAACCTTCAATACCTAGCCCTCTCAGTACACTGAATCTCACCCTATCTTAGTCTTTACTCTAGCTTGGTCACTTCAGTGGTCATGTCTTCAAGACTTCATCATAGATTATAGCTCCTCAACATTTATACTATAAAGTATTTCGTCGTCCAACTTTTTTTTTTTTAAACTTACGTCCCTATACTACTCCAACCCTGCCAGTATTTACAATGCAATGATCCTGCTATGGGTTTTTTTCTCCAACATCTCGATTAAAATTTATCTAAATTCAATATCATCATCTTTCTTTTGTACAAATTCTCAATCTATGGCACTCACTTCATTGTACTTAAATGGCAAAACCTCAACACTGCATAAATTCAGTTCTCTGACTGCCATATCTACATCACATGGCTGAAAAGGCTGGAGGAAAACTTAAGTCTTTGCTCATTGGTTTCAATTATAATTCAATATTTCTTGCTGTGGCTTAGAGATGGTCTGAGTGCACCCTTCAAAGGTTCATCTGTTGAAAACTTAGTTCCAAGTGTGACAATGTTAAGAGGTGATGGGATGTTAAGAGGTGAAGGCTAATAGGTGGTCATGGGGGGCTGCTGCCTCTGGAAGGAACTGATCTGGTTCATCTGAAACCCAGGTTAGTTCTCACAGCAGTGTCATTATAAAATAAGCTTTCAACACTCTCATTTCTTAGAGATCATATAGTGATCTCTCTTTCCAAACTGTTCTGCCACCACACCATCCTCCATGAGGTGATGAAGCTGGAGGGCCCTTGCCAGAGCCTCCAACATGCTGTTTAGACTTACAATTACTGTGAACTAAAAAGATTCTATTTCTCTGTAAGTTGTCTAGTAACAAGTATTTTGCTTTAGTAATGAAAATGAATAAATACAATGTATTCCCAATGCAAGAGGGCCCTTTGTGTTGCCTTTGGTCCTATCAGAACACTGAGGTTATAGGAATTTTCCTTGGTTTTGTTAATTTTCCTTAGGTGGAAAAAAAATTGTACATAAGTGCTTGTGAGCTGTTTTATCTAAAGGGCACTGGGAACTGAGGAAACTAATGATGTCTATGGAAACTGTCTCTCTGCCTATATACTAAGTCACATGTTCCTTGAAATGCTGATCACACAGTAGAATAAAGCAAGCTAATGATGCAACTGCTCTAGTTTACTCTAAAAAGCCCCTCCCAACAATAGCTAGAGAAAAAAAACCTGTGGAGTGCTTTAGTTCATACGGTTGCTACTGGGCACTTCAAGTTGTCTCTGTGACTTCTCAACTAGAAACTAATGATATTGCCCCTAGAATTTCTGGTGATTTTCTATCCAATCTGATACCCCTAGATGTTGGCAGTTTTATCTCTGGTCCATAGACACTAGGCTGTATCCTTTCCTTTTAGGTATTTTTTCCCGTCTCTTGGTAACCTACTCTGTTGCCCCTGCATGCCTGGACTGTGGATGGGACAAGCTGACATGTACCCTTGCAAACTTAAAGACACATGTGGGTGAGGGCAAGCCATAGACAGCCATCAGACACATACAGTAAGAACATCTACTTTAGTTGGCTCTTTCAAAAGAACTTTAATTCAAATCACTCTCTCTGTGGCTTTTCCTGACCCAAAAGGGCCATACATATTTGTATTATCATTAGTGAAACTGTACCTATAAAGTTACCTCATCCATGGCCCCAGAACATTTCACATGACATCTCTAACACAAATGTTGCCACATGTTATTCCCATGATGATAAGAATGATCACTTCTTCATCCTAAAATGCTTGTACAAAGTGTATTCTTCCAAGTAAAGGAGTTGGAGAAAGAAAATTAAAAATAGGGCAGATAATAACTCTCTATCCATCATAAAGCTAATTATTAAAACATCTCTGGATTACCTCTGTATGTCACACATACTCTTTATTATTGACCTTTCCATGCAGTGATCATTCTTTTTTATTTCCACTTATATCTTTCCTTGTAAATGCAAGGATGATCTTTTTCTCTTTGTAAATGCACCATATTGAGGACAGAGATCATCAAGGAGACAAAGGATAAACTCCTGGGTCCTTATCCTGTTACTCATTAAAACCATGATTTATATTTTCTTTGGAGGCTGCCAGGACTTAAAAGTTTGTCTTTGCTAAAAACAAAAAGCAATGATTAAACCAGTGACTCTACTTTCTCCACAAATGCCCAATAAGTTACTAAAATAGAACAAAGCTTGATCTTCGTTTAGTAACTGTCTCCTCGGTTATGTGAAATCTTTGGGTCACATCCCTTCTCAGCTCTCCATATGGGCATGTTAATTTTTTGAGGACTGTCTTTCTGAAAGCTGGCAATACATATTCAAGGTTGAGTAGCTCTAAATTTAAATAACCTATTTTATTCCCCTTCAAAACTGAGGACACTGAGATAAGAGATTGTGTGGACACTCTACTACCAATGCAGGCCCAGGAGTTTCTAGTAATTGCCTGTCACCTATGATTTCAGTACAGCCTCCCCAAAACTGCACCTGTCCCCAACAAAAACAGGCATCTCATGGAGACTGGATTAAGTGATAAAGGCTTCTCCAAAGACACCGTGCAAAACCAGAACTGAGTTAATGCTCGAGTAGATCCTAGTCCATCCCAAACCCTTAAAGCTTCTCCTGTTTCTTTGTTAACTTCCTCTGTAATGGCCAGTGTGATCTTCATCTGAGCTGTGTGCCAGTTGGCTTAAGCTGGACTCTTTCCTCTTTCTCTTCCTATTCTTCTTCCTTCCCTCCTCCCCCCTTTTCTCTCTCTCTCCCCATCCCTCTCCTCCTCTCCCTTTCTAATTTTGCCAAACAAATCAGTCTACTGACATATCCTGAAATGCTTTTCTACAATAACGTCAAGAACTGATGGGGGCAAGGTGAGATTTGCAACACCTCTTTGGGGATCTTCTTAGATCCTGTCTGGTGACAGTATCACATATAATAGTGTGCTCACCTAATATGTATTCAATAAATAGTTGGGGAACCGAATTGTACAAAGTTAGACAAGTGAATTCTCAGTTTCAATTCAATGTAGATAGAGTTTGTTGAATATGGAGAACGAAAACCCTATTTTACAGATTAAGCACTACTGAATACCAAGTTACATATATTTAAGCACTAAAAATTTTATATTAGAGAAATCAGAATCTGATGATTTTAAAGTAAGAGTTTTAATAGGCATGTATATACATAAAACTTTCAAAATATAAAACAACCTAAATTTTTCAAAATGTTAATTCAAAAAATGTTTTAGAGACTAGAGACATTTTTGTCCTGAATAAAGCATTAGGCATTTCAAAACACAGGTCCAGACTAAGGTGTAATATTACTATTACTGTTAGTATTATTCTTACACTCTTGTAACCCCAACATGGAAGGCTGAGGCATGAGGAATGATGTAAGTTTAAGGTCTGCCAGGGTTATACAGTGAGTTCAAGGTCAGCCTCAACTACATAGCAAGATTTTGTCTCAAAACATAAACAAAACACTATTCTTGTTTTTGATAGTGTTTTTTATGCAGTTGCACAATTTTCTGACAAAAGAGTGCAAAAAGTTGCAAATCTGTATCTTTTATATTTTTGCCTCTTTTAAAAACACTTGATTAAATATACTTTACTAAAACTGTTTTTTTCCTTTATTATTAAAAAAATAAGGCTGGGCATGATAGTGTATCCTTGTAATCCCAGCATTCGAGAGGCTGAGGCAGGATGACTGCTGAGAGTTCTAGGCCATTCTGGATCACATAGTGAGACACTGACTCAAAAAACCAAGAAAGGGAAGAAGAAAAAGGTGGGGAAAAAAAGAAGTAGGAAGAATGGAGGAGGAAAAGGAGGAGGAAAAGGAGGAGAAGAAGGAGAAGAGGAGGAAGAAAAGAAAAAAGAGGAGAAGAGGAAGAAGAGGAAAAAGGAAGAGAAAAAATGAGATCAATGTCTAGGAGATTGACCCTTGATAAGACAGTGGCAATCTACTTTTGCCCCTTCAGTAATTTGCACAGCAGCTTGTTTCACTGTCTCAGCATCTGGCCAATTCCATTAAAGAACATGCCAACAACACACATTTCTCCACAGAGGGAAACTATCTTCAATTTTCTTACCATAATGAACAAGTTGTTTAATCTGAAAATTTCTGTTTTATGCATAGACACTCTTCCTTCTTCATAGCTATAATCTTAAAACCTACATGACTCATGGAAATGAGTGTTTTCTTATGCCTCAGGACAACTGTCCTGAGTCCTAGGATAATGTGTTATAACTACTAGAGGTATCTGTTAGTTTAATTCCTGAATCTAGACAAAAATATACACTATTCCTTTTAATACAATACTCCTATATTTTTTTTTTCATGGAAAACATTGTTCTGACTTTTCTAGTTCCCCCATGCATATTTCCTATTCCTTTTTATTTAGATCCAATCCAGATCATATTAGATCAAAATTCAAGACTAATTAGGTTGACTAATAGCTCAGTGGCACAGTGCTTGCTTGGCAAGTGTGGGGTCCTGAGTTCAATTCCCTGTACCCACAATAAAACAAAAAACAAAACAAAACAAAAAATCATAGGGCCCCAGATATTTTGGGTCATGGAGAGCAGTGGCACAAGCACCTGCTTGGCAAGTGCAAGATCCTGAGTTTCACTCCCAGTACAAAACAAAACAAAAACAAAAATACTTACAATGAAGACAATTCCCCAGAAAATAAAAAACATTTTTATATTATTAGGAAATAATGATAATAAAAAGATGATCTATTTCAAATAATTCACTTAAAGTTGAAACACCTTAAACATTCAACTTTTTAAGTGATATTACTTCTTTTTTTTTTAAATTTTTTTTTTTTTTTTGTCTTTTTTTCATTTTTATTGGTACTGGGGATCGAATTCACAACTGTCTGCTTGCAAGGCAGATACTTATGCCGCTGAGCTAAATCCCCAGCCCCATAAGTGATATTACTTCTAATGAGAAAAACAACTAATTTCTGCTTACCACTTTTCATAGTTGTATTTTCCAATCGTTCTGTCTGAAGTTGAAGTTCAGCTTCTCCAAGTATCTTTAGAACTGAATCTGTAGGGCTTTTTCCCCAGACTTTTCTTGGAGATCCACTAGGATCTAATTTAATAACCTCTCCTACTGTATGTTCTACAAAACAAAACAAACAAAAATATACAAATAAGTTTTGATGATAGAACATACTAATAATGACAGTTTGGGGGCTTTTTATTCAAATGAGGACCTCATGAAAAAGCAAATACGTCAAAAAGACATTAAATAGAAAACAAATCCTAAGATAAATACATAGTTAAGTTAAAAAGTAGAAAAAGGTATGTCTAAGAAAATTTGTTTTACTTTATGTCTGAGTATGATGGTATATGCTAGCACTCTAGGAGGCCGAGGGAGGAGGACCACAAGTTTGAATTGAGCATACACAATTTAGTGACTTAGTGAGATCCTGTCTCCAAATAACATAAAAATAAAACGAAATAGCTTGTATTGTGACTTGTATCTAGGTATCCCCACACAGCCTCATTTTTCAGAGCTGGCTGGGTCTAGGATATGTGATACCAGGACTAAGATGCATGGAACTGAATTAGTTCACCAATTAGGATTAGTATTGGTCTGGGTGTAGCTGAATGGATTTACTGAAAACAAAGTCTCACCTGGCTGTGGGTGACACCACCTAAAAGGCTTGTGGCCTGGCTGAGATGACGGGAAAGTCAGGCTCCCTGCCCCTGCTGCTGTTTTCTGCTTGCTCCCTTCTGCTTGCCACAGAGGACTGTTTTTCCTCTATAATGCCCCTCTGCCATGCCCATGCGCCTTGGAACCAGTCAACTATGGACAAAAACCTCTGCAAACTTTGAGCTAAATAAACTTTTTCTTCTTTTGCTTTGATGTCAGGTATTTTGTCCTAGTAATGAGAAAAGTAACTAAGATAGCTGGGACTGTAACAATGGTGCTGGGTCACACACACACACACACACACACACACACACACACACACACACAATTTATCTTATATTTCATAAGTAGGCAACTGATATTTCCCAGTAAAAAAATTTTGGGTATACGATTCTAATAAAATTTGGCAGAGTATAAAATAGAAAATTAGCTGGGCATACTGGTGCACGCCTGTAATCCTAGCACTTAGGAGGCTGAGGCAGGAGGATCCTTGCAACCTTGAGACCAGTCTGGGCTACAAAGTGGGCTCAAGGCCAACCTGACCTGCCTAAAGAGACTGTGTTTCAAAAAAGGCCAAAGAAAAAAAAAGAAAAGAAAAAGAAAGGCAAAAAAAAAAAAAAGAAAATTATGTATTGAAGTTTGAGTCATAAGAACACTTAATAGTAAAACATGAAGCATGTATGTATTTATGAGTAATATACAAGATACAATAATAAGAATATAGATGACAGGATATAAGAATGTAGATTTTTCTTTTTTAATGCAGAGGTCTCAATATTTTGGCTAGGCTGGTCTTGGACTTGTGAGCTAAAATGATCCTCCCGTCTCACACTACTAAGAGGCTGGGGGTTAAAGGTGTGTACTACAACAACTACCTTCAGTTATTTAGATTTTCAATGGCACTCTATACAAGTTGATATAGCCTAACATATCAGTTTCATGAAATAAGTAGGCACAAATAAGCAATTAATATTGTGTTTTTTTATAAATAATTGCAAATATAGAAGTAATTTTTAAAAGGATAAAAGCAGGGGAGAAAAGCCAATAATAAACACATAATTTAAATTCATTTCTGTTTGAGGAAGGTGTCAAAGCAATACAATAGGAAACAAATGCTCTCTTTTATCCCTGTGGTACTCAGGATTGACCCAGGGCCTTTGCACTGTTACCTTCTTGTGTTTATTTTGAAACAAAGTCTCTAATTTGCCTGGGCTGGGCTGCAATTGATGCAATTCTGCATCAATTTCTGGAGTAGCTGGCATTACAGGCCTGCATCCTGAGCCTGGCTAAGTAAAATCTCTTTAACAAACAAAATATCTGCATATTCACAAGCAAAAATAAAGTCCAACCTCTTTGATGCAGGGAGAGAAACCCTGGAGGAACTCAGTTTCTAAAGTGAAGCGATAGAACAGGGAATTCAGGGAGTCCAAAGTGGTTCATGTTTGCAATTTAGAGACTACCTGAAAGCAGTAGTGGAATAATAGTTGAAACTTACATAGGGGCAAAAATAGATCCATTTCCATCAGTCAGGAAAGAACTATGTATAAATCACAAGGTATCAGATGGATTGTTCAGAAAGGTTGTGACTCAGTAAAGAGGAAAGATTAGCTGTAGACTAAACACTATTAAGCTTTACTTAACAAAGTTTAAAAGCAAGACCTAAAATGGGTCAACCTATTCACAAGTAACTAAATTATGTCCCAGAATGAAGGTTAAGACTATTTATAAGAACACAAAAATACAGAGAATCCACAAATTAAAATTCATAATGTTTGTTCTCTCTAAAGAACATGAGCACACACAGAAGAATGAGAATGCAACCTAAAAACAAACGGGAGAAAAGTCAACCAATTAAAACAAATTCCCCAATAACTGTGATTAGAATAACAGAGAGGGAACATTTATAGCTGTTATTATAGTTGAGTTCCATTCATTCAACAAGCTAGAGAAAGACTGGTTATGGTAATTAGAAGAAAAATACTAACAATACTGAACTTGTAGAATTTTTTAAATTTGAAAACTATATATCCACAAATCTAAGAAGTTCAATAAAATCTAAGCAAAAAAAGCATGACGAAAATGACAGTAAGGCATATCACAATCAAATTCCCTAAAAGCAAGGTTACAGGGAAAAATCTGAAAAGCAGCTAGAGAATACCAAGACATTACATACAGAAGAACAAAGCCAAGAGTAAGAATTGCATAAGATTTCCTATCACAAGTAATGTGGATAGTAATGTCATTAAAGCGATAAAAGAGAGAATATATCAGAGCCCAGTGTGGTGGCACACAACTATGATCCAGTACTCTGGGAGGCTGAAGCAGGAAGATCACTGTGAATTCAAGGCCAGCCTGGGTTACATAAGCAAGTTCAAGGCCAGTCTGAACTACAAAGTGAGACCCTGTCTCAGGGCAGGGCAGAAGAGCATGTCAACTGCACTTTATAAAATATTTGCAAAAGTCAGGCAAAAATCTTTTACAGAGCTAAAAGAACTCACCACTATGTGAGCCAAAATAAACCTATTCTTTCTGTTAGGAAAACAAAGAATTCATCACCAGCAGGACTGTACTACAAGAATTCTTAAAGCTCGCCTTAGAGGCAGAAGAAAAATGACATCATTGGGAATTTGTTCTACACAAAAGCATCAAGGGCACTAGACACGCTAAGTACATGGGAAATACAAATAATTTATCTCATATTGTTTAGATCTTTTTAAAACTGAGATATGACAAAATAAAATAGCAAAACAAGACCTCAAAAGCTGAGAGGGAACAACTGCAAGAATATTTTTGTAATGTTCTTATATTTCAAGTGTAATAAATCACTTGAAAGTGGATTATAAGTTAATGATACAAATCATGACCTCTAAAGAAAATACCAAATAACAGAACAATAAACTACAGCTAATAAGGCAGAGATAAAAATGAATCATAAATAATACTTCAATTTTCCAAAAGAGAGAAGTGACTATATCAATATCAAAGTAAAATTTAAAGAAAAATAACTTTAAAAAGAAATGTAATAGTTAGAATACAGATGAATTTCAAAATTCCTTACGTTGAGTAAAAGAAACCAGAGACAAAAGAACACAAGGACCTATTTAAAGAAAAAAAGGTAATCTATGAAGGAAAAAAAAAACACCTCTGGAGACAAGGGGCAAACACTGATTGGATAGGGACATGGAACCTCTTGGGGTGATCTTAATGTTCTATATTTTGGTAGGGATTTAGATTACGTAGGGCCAAGTAGTTGCTGAAATTCAGAAAATGTCCATGTATGATGTATTTATACACTTAAAAAATAAAAGCTTTTAAATAAATACTGAACTCTAATAATTATCTTCAGGAAAAAGCATATCAATATCCGCAATTTACTCTGAACTGTACTAAAAAGTAAGATGGCTTGATGGACAGAAAGATAACACTGATCATGTAAGCACAGTTAAGTGTTAATGACAGAATATAAATGGAAGCTATGTGGTACTATTCACTGTGAAGTTGTAACAGTTATGCTATGCATTTGAAATTTTTTACAGTGAAATATTTAGGAGAGTAAATGATTTTTGGCAATACAATGAACTATTACATGAGTACGAAATATAGTATTTTTTTGAGGCAGGGTCTTGCTATGTACCTTGAACTCTTCACAATCCTTCTGCCTCAGCCTCCCAAATTCTAGGATTACTGACATGTGCCAATATACCTGGCTTGAAAAATTATTTTTTATGTAGTAATATAAATATAAGATACAAGTAAAAATATATGATACAAGTACAAGTAGGATCCAGAAAAGTACAAGTGATGTAAGTAATATAAATATTATATAGGATAATATAAAATAAATGGAGAAATATGTTCTCATATATACATATCTATGTACCTACACACACATATGTGAATGAGTCCTGGAACTATAAACTAGTATCAGTAATTACCTAGCAACAGGGAATGATAGATCCACATGTTTCTCTGGGATAGTCCAATATCATTCAAAATTCGAGGTAATTACTGTTTCATTTCTAAGGAACAAATATAATTGATTATCCAGTTCTCATGGTTTTCATTTACTTGTGACTGTTCCCACTTTGTCAAGAAAATTAAGAAGTGATTTTTCTCAGCTCCTGTAAAACATACTTGCATTTTCCTAGCCTTTCTTCTCTGTCTTGCCCCAGAGATGCTCTAAATCATATCCAGTGCCACTATCTCAGAGATCTCACAAAAGCAGCAGTATCTCTTTTTATTTATTGACTACTTTTCATGTATAAAAGCTAGGCTACATGTTAGCTCAAAGCTTAACATTGCAAATCAGACAAGCTTAGTCAAACATTTATATTCTAAAAGGAAATATAAAAGAAATATACTATACACAGGAGGAAAATATCCACAGTATATTATTAGGTTCTTTAAATGCAGCAAATAGCTTAAAAAATAAAAGAGGTCTACTATTAATAGAGAGCAGACGA